GAAAGAACATGGAGGGTGTGGGGTACATTTATCCAGACGTATCCAATGTCAGACGTAGGGCAGTAGCAGGGAAGTGTCCTAATTGGCCACAGACTACACAGGAGTTAGGATCTTGGCAAACTCCTCCCAAAACACAGGAACCAGCAATGGAGAACTGGAGGTGAAGACATGAAGTCCCGAGCAGCAAAACAAGGGCAGATACCCTGATTAGAGAGTGGCCTAATACTGCGGGAGATTGGGGGTGGGGTGCGGAGTGCACAGCCAGCATAAAAATGATGCATTTAAGTTTCCTTCCACATAGGAAACCTAGCACTAATAAAAGCATCTCAATTTTGAGATGTAAAAAAAGGGGGAATGGAGGAGACAATCCAAGAAGCCTATCTTATTATGTTGGTGTAAGGCACAAGCCTTTTAAAGGATAGTCAATCTTCCCCTCCACAATGGGGAACTATGTGCTAGGCAAAGAGCCTTGCACTTTGGGACACAGGACGATGGCAGGTCTGCTTGTGCTGGTAAGGGGCTCTATCTCGTCTCCTACATCCCTGCCCTGCCCTTATTCCAAGGCCTGAAATCCAGCTGCCCCCTTCAGTTCAAGGAAGGGAACGTATATGGTTCTCCGCCTGTTGCAAATGGAGAAGGGAAGCGAGCTGAAGGTCAGTCCACATCCATGAAGTCCCGGTTTGCTAGCTCTTGGAAGTGAGAATCGCAGCAGGCAGCATAGTCCTCCTCATTCCCGCAAGCAGATGTACTCGTGGATGCAGCAAGGGGAGTTGGGTGGCGGATTTTGTCCTGGCGTTGATAGAAGAGGACATAGGCAGCTTTGGACTGGCAAGAAGAACAGGGAAAAGTTAATGAATGACAAAGAACAACACAGCCTGGAAGATACACTTGGGAAAGCAGCTTCCGGCTCAAAAAGAAGGGAACCGTTGAATTGACAATGGTTTCCCATCTGCGTAAATCCCCCGAACTTGATGGACTATCAAACTGGCCAAGGAAAGACTACACAGGTCCCAAAAAACTTGTTTAGAAAATTTTGCATTGCTTTAATATAAGAGGCATCATAGGAGATAAAGCTTTGCATTCTCATTGTTTATTCCAGCTTGGCCACTATGGAAAGAATGAAGATTCTGAAGCATGTCCTCAGAGCAGGCTTCTTTAGCTTTAAAATTTAATCCACGGTTCTTTTACCTAATGCTAGCACCATGATGGTGAACCTATGGCACACGTGACAGAGGGGGCATGCAGAGCCCTCTCTGTGGGCATGTGCGCCATTGCCAGATGCTCTTCCGGGTTATGTTGCACGCATGCATGGTGGCCAGCTGATCCGGCACACATGCACACGGTAGTTAACTGCTCTCAGCATGCATGCGCCGGAACCCAGAAGTGGAGCTGGCCATCAGCTGCTCTCTTCCAGGTTCGGTGCTCTGATGCGTGCATGCACTCCAGTTTCGGCCCTCGGTGCAGAAAAGGTTCACCATCACTGCACTAGGAAGTACTAAAACTGACCCCTCCAGAATGTGCAGCCCAAGAGAATCATCATACTAGCTGGAAAATCCAGGGATGATAGTATCTTTAAAAATGCCAAGGTATCAAAAGCTGGGTTTAAATAGTTAACTTTAACAAAAGACATTCTCAAAAAGTTTAGAGTCGCATTCTGCACTTTTACTCCCACTGCAAGTGCAGCACACATCTCACACAGCAATCCTCCATCGTACTATGCCCTGAGTCGATGGCAAGACTAAGGAAGCAATCCGAGGCAAATAAGCCTCCTTTGTCCCCTATAGTTGTTTGAAATGACTCTTTAGAGACATCGGAATGTGTCTCATTTCTTAACAAGTAAAAATATATAGGCAATTTATTTCAATTTGCTGCCACTAAAAAGCCCACTCTGCTTGTGGAAAGACACGGTTTCCAAGGTTCCATTCAAAATTTACCCATAAAACAAATGCAAGTCAAAGAATATATTGTGTGGCAAGATCCGACAATCCATGTAGCAAAAAGGTATGAAGGAGAACAGCGCTTTTGGTTATGCAGCAAGGCATTCGCCAGCCAAGTACTGAAATGAGCCGATCCCAAGATGAAATGCCTTACCTCAATCTGGTTATTTGAAACCGCAGACACGTTGCTATCATCAAAATAATACCACGCCCCAGTGTCCTTGTTCCGGGCAAAAGTGGTGTCTAGAGAGTACAAGAGATGAGTCAGATCATTCCGTATTCTTTTGTTATCCACCAAGAAAACAAATACGGTCTTATCACAAAGGAATTCAGCAGAGTTGTGTTTTATGCCTGTTTCTTTACAGATCCAGTGAATATATCCCCTGAGCTAAGCTCTTCTCTTGTTTTCTCATTGTTTTTGCCTTCTAATCATGTTGGGCTCAGAGAGAACGACAGCCAATTCGACCCAGTGGTTGAGGCACCAGACTCACCTTTGGGCCAGTCATTCTCTCTTAGTTCTAGGAACCAGGCAATGGCACAGCACTTCTAAAAGAATTGCCACAAAATACTGCAGGGACTAGTCCAGTGAGTCATCGGGAATCGAGACTAGTTCAAAGGAACTAAAAAAAAAAGAGTGATCTTAAGTCTCCTTCCTAACAGAGGAAGAGAAAACAAGATTCTTTCCTTAAAGTTAGCTAAGTATTGGTACCGTTTGCCAGCAAAAAATTGGAGCAAGTTTTCAGCTATTTCTTTGCAACTACTTTTAAGGACAAACCGTCCTCATCCATCAGATGAGTGGCAGGCAGCTTGTGACCTCCAGATGGAGAGGAGGAGGAGTGCAGCAAAAAAAAAACAACAAAAAAAAAAAAAACTGGCAGATGGGTTCATGGACCTGAAAGCTATAACTAAAGGCAAAGTAGGTTCTGAAACAAGGGAGGCTGGGGAAATCTTGTTTGCTTGTTTATTACATTTATATCCTGCCCATCTCACTGATAAGAGCGACTCTGGGTGGCTTACACTTTCCTATATAACTGTTGTGGCCCAGCAGGAGCCGTTGGAGCTGCCACCAGACTCCAACAGCGAGGGGCCCTATGAGTCGGATC